GGACGATCAGTGTGTAGCTTTGCTACGTGCTCTTGGGAGCAATGAGTTTAAAGACTCGGACATAGAATTGTCGGCACGTTTACGTGCGAGGCTACATCGATATTCCATCGATAATGGCCTATTGTGCTATCGCACGGATATTGAGGACAACCCTCGTATCGTAGTACCTCATAATGAGGAATTAAAGTATCGGATCCTCTATGAGGCACATGATACTGCTTTAAGTGGTCATCTCGGTCGTGAGAAGACTTATAGCTCGGTGAGCCAAAGTTATTGGTGGCCCAAACTTTATAAGTGGGTGCGCACCTATGTGCGTACGTGCGAAACGTGTCAACGGGTAAAACCCTCGGCACATGCGGCGGCGCCGCTGGCTAGTTTGCCAGTACCCAGTGGTTGTTGGGAGTCCATGAGCATGGATTTTGTGTTTGGCCTACCGAAAGATTCGGAAGGCAACACTGGTATTGTGGTCTTTGTTGACCGATTGAGCAAGATGGCTCACTTAGCGGCTGTGCCGGATAGCATCGATGCGGAAGGTACAGCAAAGCTGTTTATCGACCGTGTGTTTCGCCAACATGGCTTGCCTGTGGCAATTATCTCTGATAGAGACCCCCGCTTCACTGGGAAGTTTTGGAAGTCTATCTTCAAGGTGCTTGGCACTCGATTGGAAATGTCACGCCGGATCATCCGCAGACCGACGGTCAAACTGAGCGTGTAAACCGCGTCATCAACGACATTTTGCGCAGTATTTGCGCTGATACGCCTAGGCGTTGGAGCTCAATGCTCCCTGTTGTTGAGTTTGCGTTGAATAACGCTGTTCATGCCTCAACAGGCTTTACTCCGTTCTATATAAACGGTCTCACTCACCCTCGCGTTCCGTTAACGCTATCACTACGTGAATCAGGGCTTGGTGGGGGAGAGGTTGCCGATCGGCTTGCTGATATCAGCCCTGCTACTGTTCAAAAACAGGTAAGCGAGTTTCTCGCAACGCGATTAAATGTCCTAAGACATGTGCGTGACGCAATGGCTGATAGCCAAGATACCCAAAAACAACAAGCTGATGCCAAAAGCAGAAATTGTATTGAACGTTATGAGGTCGGAGACCAAGTACTACTCAATGCTAAAAATCTACCTACAAATGTAGTGTCTGCTGTCTTTAAGACAAAGTTGCGTCCACGCTTTATTGGACCGTTCACGGTCACGGCCAAGGGGACTTGCGTATACGCTAAACCTCCCACGCAAATTGCGCACACATCCAGTGTTCTACGTAGGCTTACTTAAGCCGTACCGGGATCCTTCCCATGTGAACTTGGAGGCGCTTGCGCCGACGACAAGGGCACCGCCCCGGATTGCTGTAGACGAATCAGCAAGTCCAACTGAGCCTCGCTCCGAGTTTGAGCTTGCTCCATCGCCTGAAGGCGGTTTTGCATCGCATCCAGCATGCACTGGGACTTACCCAAGGCCGCTTGAAGACCCTTCACTTCGAGAACCAATTTCTCGTGGGCCTCCACCGGTACACCGGCCGCCACCGACGTTGCTCGATGAGCATGGGTGTCGTCAATTCCATGTCGAGAGACTACTGAAACGACGTCGTCGTCAGGGCCAATATCAGTATCTGGTAAAGTGGCGTGGGTACCCTGAGTCTGAAAACTCATGGGAATTTGAGGTACCCCTTCGGCAAGACTGCCCATATGCTTTGGAGGCTTTTGAGCATCGTGGCCATGGTCATCGCGAGGCCGAGGCCGTTCACCACCACTAGTGGTGCGGGTTGGCGGGTTGTTGGTCACAGACTGACCAGCACTCGCGGCTACCTTAGTAGCCGAAGCATAGCGCGTGCGCTTGCGCAATTGGCCTCTGGCCTTAAGCTTGGCATAATCATACCGAAGCTTGCGTTCGAGACGCACATCCGCCGCATGGGCACTAGCCCTTAGAGCAAAAATGTTGCTGAGGCGACGCACATAGTGCACCCAGTGAACAAAGGCATCGTCTTCTTCACTCGCTGTTTCGCCTGCGAGCAGGAGAATGGGTATACCCTTCATCGGTGGAACTGGTGCACCACGTGCTTGCATGTCAAGGCGTGCCTTGTATTGACTTTGAGTCGTTAGGTGCGGCTCCAGGTACCTCTCACGAAGTGCCTGGCAGCTCACCACCTCCTCAGGAGTCTTAGGCCCATGGCCAATGACCCACGTTGCCAATGTTTGGCCGGCCGCTTGACGCAGACGTTCCTCCACACTGGGTGGGGTGAACACATAATCACGCTGGCGTTCAAGGGTTGCAGTCATCTGTGCATAACGCTGAGCGTTTTGTTCTCTTTGAACAAGCAGTTGTTGTTGCTCATCGAGCGGGTTCGCGATGATAGTCTCATCAAACCCAGATGCTGCACGCTGCGCTGGCGGCGCGCTCGCACCTCCACGTTCAGCGAACGGATTTGGGGTGTTCGAAAGTTGTGCCTCAGGCATCAGTGAGCCGGACGTTGTCCCTGTGTCACCGCGGACACTGGTATCGCTACCATAGTCCACCTCTTCCTCTATTCCGAGGTAGTCACACAGAGCCTTTGACTCGTTTGGTGATGAGGACATCGTGCTAGAGCGTACGTTACCGTGAGGTTCACCGTACGCGCACTGTTCTCGCTGAGAATACGAGTTCGATTGACGTTTTGGGTAAACGTCAGTCTGGTGGGGGAGGGTGTAACGGGGTTGCACGAAATCATGGTACTTTGTACCAGAGGTGTTACACACCTGAGGGTTCGCTTCTGTGAAGGTGATATAGAATATCTTATCGGTTTGTAGGGGCTGACAAGTGTCAGCCATTAGATACGAAAGATCTTTGAGTAGGATTAAGATATTCTATAGGCTTTAACATTAAATAAAATCAGTTCCCATTTTGATCTGAAAGACGCGTGGCTTGCGAGCCGTCTTGATCGTTGATCTCTGATCACTAAGAGTTAGCAACACCTCCTTGAGGTAGCTACTCTTGAGCACTAAGTGCTGTCGATTCACTGAATCGTTAGGTCCCCTGGAACAGGGATCTGAAGCTGTAAAGCTTGCTGACTCGTAAAGTCGTTAGTTCTTTGGAACTAAGTTGCTCGTAGAGCGTTAAGTCTTCCTCTGACTTAAGGAGCTGTGTAGCTCCGCTACAAGTTTGCTCGGACGCCATCATTAGTCCATTGTCAAGTGGCAACACCAAAGTGACTAGGCTGGACACCCTTGCCAGGCGAAGATGTCGTTATCGATACGCCGCACATGAAGCTGCTTCTTGCCACCTTTCGGCAGTGGTATGGCGGTTGTGAGAGCGCGGGAGTGCGACAGCTCAACGTGTTGTGTGCTGTGATAGAATGGCAGTCTTTGCAAACGGTTCAGGTTCAGTCGAGGCCTTGGCGTGCATCTTTCGTACCAGGTTCCAAGCCACGACTAACAGTAGGTAAGTATCTAGTTGCAGTGCATCGTATGCGCATCAGAATCGACTTCGTAGCGCTTCATTGTCGAGGCGACATCCTGCTACGAATGCGGAAGCGTGGCATCCTCGTGTTCCGTTCCAAGAGCTATTGGTATTGATTGTGCCGACACATTCTGACGTCCAATTTGTAGCACAGACGTGTGTCGGCTTCAATCCGTCAGTGTACATGGGGCTGAACGTGAGATTGAGAATGAGCAATGACGCTGGATGAAACGAATCGTAGGTAGTAGCGATGCCAGGTGAGCTCATTACTGTAACGGGGTGAATCGTTACATAACAATTTTTAAGAATATGTTAATAGAATATAACTATAAGAGTTATATTCTCAGAATATTGTCATTAGGACAAATATTCTGTAGCACTTGCGAGTAGTTCCTAATTGGTTGATATAGGCCATTATATCAACCAACGAAGACGCGCCACGACAGACGCACGCAATGAGTGGTGAGCAGATAACTGATTTACACATTTGTATTTAGACATAGTGAGATGAAGATAAATAGTGATTTATTGCAGACATTAACTATACTAAATACAGTTCTACTTTTTACTTTAACCAAGTACTCGCTTCTTCTTACCGTCTTCCTCTGCACGTACGAGTGTACGTAAAGTTACGAGGCACCGCCTTATTCTGTCATCAGAATAGGTAGCTTGTACTGTCACCAGTACAAGCTTCAGGGTGCCCCGTTACACCTGGTAGCACTTCGTAGTCCGTTCAAGGACCACGTTCACATCTAACATGAATATGTTAGATGATGAAGATGACCAAAGCTTTCACGCTACGCGTGACGGCTACACCCATTTGAGCGATGTCGAATGGGCCTTTATACTGCACAGGCATCGTGAAGAGCAAGGGTAGCTAGCAGAACGACATCATTTGTGAACTTAGGCGTCAAGTTTTTGGACTTTGACAGTATCGAACGCTGACTAGTCCTTGACTTGGATGAGAGGTATGATCTCATCCTTGGTATAAAGCTTACATCCGCATTAAAGGAGCCCGCAAGATCAAAGATCTGGAAGGGGGATCAATACAGGGTGCACGAGACACCGAGCTCGTACTCTGTGAAGACATGAGTGTCTTCATGACCAGCGCCTGCATCACCAAGTGACACAGGCTGGGTCGCTTCAGCAACCGATGAGGCAAGTCCAAGGACGAAGACATGGACGCTCAAGACGAGATGCAAGGGGCAGTCGGGTGACGGAGACCGGGGGGACTCCGTCACCTTGTCAATTGTGATATGTGCCGTTCGGTGCATGCATCTACGACGCATATACCGTTATACGTGAATGGCTTGGGAGTCATATCGCTCAATTCGTGTCTTTTCATCTAGGACACTCTCGTCCATAGATGAACTACTGAGAACTCTCTGGGACGCGGTTGAACGAATGGGTTCAACCATGGGCATCCATGCTGTTAGCGTCATGCTAGAGGCTCTCAATAGAGATGCCCAACATGCTACTATCGCCAAGTTCATTCAGAATGAACTTGACGCAGAAATATAGAGAAAGTAGCCTTGCTTCACCAACAAGGTTCTCAACAAGCAGAGATGTTGAGAGAACAGGGTGTTCAACAGTTTGAACTGTTCAGACAGCAGCAGGCTGCTGCTGGTAGGTCGATGCACTCGCGTCGACCCGAAACCTTGAAGATTGACATCTCCAAGTATATGGGAGTCGAAGAGGACTCCCTCTTGAGATGGTTCGTCGAATTGGATGACGCCATAAGGGCGCGTCGCATCGACGACGTGGATATGCAAGTTGCATTTGCCCAGTCAAATCTGGCAGGACGTGCCAAGACTTGGGCACTGGGGCTCAAGTTGCACGACCCATATGCGTTTGGGTCGTTGGAAGTCTTCAAGTCGCGGCTCAGACAAACGTTTGAACCGCCTGGAGCTGAGTTCAGAGCTCGAACCGAACTCTTGAAGCTCAAGCAGGGTAAGCGTGATGTGCACGCTTACGCGCAACATTTACGACATCTTACGAGTTGTATAAGTTCCAATCCGGTGGATGAACACACGTTGGTTTCGGTGTTCATGCAGGGTCTTGCGGATGGTCCCGTCAAGACTCACCTGTTCCGGCTTGAACTAGATTCACTAGAACAAGCCATTTCCATTGCGGAGCAGGAAGACTTCAGTCTGAGATAGGCTCGCGCCAGCTCGACATCACATCGTCAACCGAGACGATATGACAACGGAGGTCCAGAGCCGATGGAACTCTGTTATGTAGAGATCGAGAGGGCTCGCTCTACAGACTACAAGAAGTTGCAGAGATGCAACAGATGTCAAAAGACAGGACACTACGCTTACGAGTGTAGTGCCCCTCGTCCAGTGTCTCGCGACACTGGGCGTAGTGACCGTCCACCCATGAGAAAGGGGCAGGGACGAGGGTCCGCTGTTGGTGCAAAGACGCAACAACGGGATGGACCGTAAAAAAACGGACAGGATCAGTAGGTGCGGAGCACCCTACTGGTCCAGCGACGTCAAGAGAATTTGTAGGCCTCTTGATGAAGGTTGCTCCCAACACACAAACGTTGTGCGTTGCTGCTCTAGGTAATGAGATCTCACTCATTACCTTGAAACTCGAAGTGACGAATAAGTTGTCCCTTCGAGCTCTAGTCGATTGTGGGGCGTCCAACAATTTTGTGCGACGCCAATCGCTAGAAGATGGTCACTTTAAGTTCAGTGAATGTGACACACCTCCTACGAGGATGACGGTACGTCTTGCGACAGGCGCATCCGTAACCGTCATGAAGCGTATAGTTTAGATCCACTATACGCTAGAAGACACCCAATATGACGATGACTTTATCGTATTGGATTTGGATGACAAATTTGATGTCATCCTTGGAATACCGTGGCTCAGAAGGTACGAACCACGGGTAAACTGGCAACATCGAACAGTAACGATGCCTGCCGCTTGTTCATCAGATGGCCATCTGATGAACGTTTTGGAGCGTCCACAAGCGTGTGGATGTACTACGAGTGAGTGCGATGGCCTCACTTGTGGTACGGTCGTTAGTACGACTGCACAAAACCTTAGTGTACCAAACGGTTACACTTCGGAGCAAAGTTCCGGCGGCTGTGAGGAAACACAGGCTGCGCCGAAGGTCCACCACTCGAATAAGTCGGGTGGACTGGGAGGCGCAATGTGAGCGAATGTCCACGAAGCTTTATTCAAGCCAGTAAACATTCTGACAGCCGTGTTGAACCTAAATGATCTGACCCCACCAGTTGTGTGGAAACATAATTTGCTACAGCAAAAGGCTCAACTCCATAGCATGCTCTTTGAACCTGTCACTTGAAATTTTATCTGTCCAATAAATCTAATGAGGACGATTGCGCCAACCAAATAGACTACATACAGCTAAAGCTGAACAAAGAGTCCTCAGTTTCGTCTTTGGATTCGATCTGCTCGTGCAATTGTCCTTTGTAACGGGGCACCCTGAAGCTTGTACTGGTGACAGTACAAGCTACCTATTCTGATGACAGAATAAGGCGGTGCCTCGTAACTTCACGTGCACTCGTACGTGCAGAGGAAGACGGTAAGAAGAAGCGAGGACTTGGTTAAAGTAAAAAGTAGAACTGTATTTGTCATAGTTAAAGTCTGTTAATAAACCACTGTTTATCCTCATCTAACTATGTCTGAATACAAATTTATAAATCAACTACCTGCTCACCACTCATTGCGTGCGTCTGTCGTGGCGCGTCTTCGTTGGTTGATATAATGGCCTATATCAACCAATTGGGAACTACTCGTAAGTGCTACAGAATATTTGTCCTAATGACAATATTCTGAGAATATAACTCTTATAGTTATATTCTATTAACATATTCTTAAAAATTGTTATGTAACGATTCACCCCGTTACATCACCCCCCCCATAACCATCAGTCACTTTAGTGACTGATTGACTAAACGGATACTCGTCCCAAATCATTTGGGACAGGGTTTGCACTTGTTGGTCCGAGTCCACTTTCCAACAATTCATCGCATGGTTAACAAGCCCATGCGATGCGCGAGCAAGGCCGCCGAGAGCGCGTCCGCAAGTCTCTGTGCGGACGCCGAAGCAGAAACCACAGCAACTGATGTCTCATCGGTTGCTGAAGCGACTCAGCCTGTGTCACTTGGTGATGCAGGCGCTGGTCATGAAGACACTCATGTCTTCACAGAGTATAAGCTCGGTGTCTCGTACTCTCCTGATACGGAAGACGGATCCGTATCGACGGCGATCGAAACCAAGCCGCCTGCCAAGCGTGGCATGGATGATGCTATGCGTCGTAGCATCTTTGGTTCATCTGATGAATCAGACGAACCATCGCCGAAGCGTAGGCGCTCGAGGTCGCGAGACTCGGGCGCTAACAGTGGTGTCGGTTCTCCTATGGACACCACTTCGCAACGAGGTGTCAGTCCTTCTGTCGGCACGTCGCAGGAAGAGCGGGGCCGCAATGTCTTGCGTCTCGCTTCTGAGAAGAAGGCATGGATGCCTCCCAAATTTATCATGGATCACTTGTTGGCGACGACGAGTGATCGTTATCGAAAACGTTTGTTTGATTCGTCAAGGATCCATCACCTTGACCCCAGCGCGAAAAACTATCGCGCTGAAAACGAATTCTTCATCGATGCTTTCTTTAGACATCGATGGTACAGTGGGAATCACAAGCGTGATGGTCCCTCACTACTTCAAGCGTGGAACGCCTACATCCATAACCTTGAGGATGTAGGTCGTGACGCTTGGAACGACAAACTTATCAAAGCTCGTGATAAGTTTGAAAAGCGGACCCCGACAGGTGCACGCTACAAGCTGCATCGTCTGTCAAGGGAGAAGGGATTACCCTGCCTCTCTTGGGGAGACTCGTGCCCATGTCGTGTGAACAACTCTGCACGAGCACCTAAGGAGGCTTACCTCCTTACTAGCCCGTGGTGGCGCGTACGTATCTCTACTGAGATGTACGAAGGGATTGACAACCTGAAATCCCTTCACGACCGTGCCGGAAAGACTTTCTCCGGCGGTCCTTCTGCGGCACAGGATGTGCCGCGTCGTACTGCTCAACCAGACCCAGTACGTCAACCATCAGTTGGGAGCGGGGCTCCCAAGTATCCCAGGACGGGGGACAGCCGCGCGACCGGACGAGATAACTCGCCCGACGTCCGTTCACGTCGCGGTGGTTCAACAGCTGCTCAACTAGATAGCGCTGGACACCGCGAGAGTCTTCTAGTGGAGGTGGAGGAGGAGGAAAGACGCTCTCCACACGATCATGGGGATCCGTGTGTTCCCGAGAGCTTCTTTGATCGCGTAACGCAAGGGTTACGCAACGATCTCGAACATGAGCGGAACAGGCGTCTCCAACTGGTGGACACTGTCTTGAAGCATCGAGCTGAGTTTGCCTTTGCTCAGCTTGAGAACGAGAGATCTCTGACATCTCTTCGTGACGAGCTAAGGGTAGCTCGTGGGATTGTTGATCGGTCTCGGGATGAGATAAATGCTCTTCAGACCCTTGTCGATTCCCACCATCGGGAGCACAAGGCTCTCTGCGAGATGCTTGAGCGCAAGGGCGTTCTTCATCGGAAGAAGCAGCGTACTGATGGTACGGCTTAAGCCGACCCACGTAAAACGTGGGATGCGCTCGCATCTTACGTGGCAACTCGATCGTGTATGCATTGCCTAGGCGGTGCAATACACGAAATGGGCCGATGTACTTGGGTAGTAGTTTACTGCTACCCAAGTTAGTCACTACGTGCTTTGGTAGATTAACCGTAGACAGTAGGACTAAGTCACCTTTATTAAATAAAAGAGTGTTTGCCCTTCCATTCTTGTCAGCGTTTTGCTTTTGTTTATCTACTGCTTCGGCGATGGAGTCTTGCACAAAACGGACTACCGTTTCACGAGCCAGTATGAACTCATTTGATGACTCGTTAGCTTCAGTGCGCTGTGAACGCACTACAGCAACATCAACCTTTTCTTCAGTGAGGGCTTCCGCACTCTCACTGGCATCATCTACTTCGATATCGATGTTATCGATATCGGCATCAAACGCAATGACCTCTTCGTCAGAGCGTGATGAGCGTGAACCAAATCGGTTTTTGCTCGCGCGAGTCCCTCCCCCCCTTAAACCAGAGTTACACTCTAGTAGGGTGGGTAAACGCGGATGGCGCAAGCCATTCAAGTAAAACGGTGTATGTGTCGTGGACGCATGCACCGAGTTGTTAATGGCAAACTCTACCATTGGCAAAAACTCACTCCAACTCTTAAAGGAGTGTACGTATCCTCGAAGGATCTCTTCAAGGACAAGATTGGCACGTTCCGTCTGATCATCTGACTCTGGATGATCAGATGTCGACATCTTCAAGCGCGTTCCGAGTAATTTGAACACGGAACGCCAGAAATCAGCAGTGAATCGTGGATCTCTGTCTGATACGAGTTCACGGGGCAACCCACAAAGTCGGAAGATGGTGTCAATAAAGACACAAGCACAGCCACTTGCCGTGATTGTCTCTGGTACAGCCACAAGGTGTACCATTTTGCTGAATCTGTCAACAAATACGAGAATACCCGTATTCCCGCGTGCGTCTTTGGGTAACCCGAAGACGAAATCCATTGAGATGGATTCCCAGTACTCAGCCGGAACCGGTAGAGGCTGTAAAGGTGCACGCAGCAAAGGACTTGACTTCACTCGTTGGCAGACTTCGCATGCGCGAACATACTTTCGCACAAACTGATACTGGCGGGGCCAGTAAAAGTCTCGACTCACCGTGAGATATGTTTTCTCTCGGCCACGATGTCCTCCTATAGGAGCATCGTGATACTTGAAGATGATCCGCAAACGCAGATCAGTATCATCTGGAATGACAACACGTGGTGTGTCACCAGAAACGGCTGTGTGATACAGTAACCCGTTGCGAGTAGTGTATCTATCTGATGCAGATCGGTACGCAGGCGACAATCGTTTCAACAATTCTCGAGATGGTTGTGAGAGATGTGTCAACAGCTTCACAATCTCTCCATCTTGGGCATATGCCCGCCTCACATCATCATACAACGTTGTACATGGGACTGAGGACGTCATAACCGCAACAGTGACTGTCTCACCGTTGGGTTTCGCGACTGTTTCAAAGTCGGGACGACGTGAGAGTGCATCAGCGACGAC